AATTTTCATTCAAAAAAAGGTCATAAAATGAATCAAATCATCTGAAGCAACTGCTAAATAAATGTCCTAGTTGGAACAATGAAGCATCCTTTCATTCAAAAGGGTCAGCTTTTTTTAATTCCACTTTAACCTACTGTCCACTGCCATGCTGGTTACTGAATTACACCAGATAAACTCAGACTGAGTCACATATAAGCCTCTATTTTCATTTGTTCTGGGATTTTTCTGTCATACCACTTTTTGTAGCCTCTATGATTCTTTATCACTTACGTTGAAGACTGTCATCTGTATCTTCCACGGATATAGAGACCAGCTCAGATGCTTTCAGTGGTACTACTTAGCTTTATAAAGATATAAAAGCACATTCAGAAGTCTTCTTTAGAGTGTTTTATCCTTGAAATCTTGACTGAAAGACTTTGTGAGAAGATATGCTATGTATGACCAGGGCAGAAACTGGAATTCCTGTTATTCAGGACATTCTGAAGTTAAAAAGCAAGACCTTAAAATGTACTTTGAGTCTTCTTCTTGTGAAGATTTATTTAAATTCAGTCTTTAAGTTCAAGCCTATTTTTTTTTTTTGAAACCTTTCAAGAGAAGTCAAGTAACCCAGCAGTCCTGTGTGTAGATTTAACCATTGGGAACAGACCTTTTAGACTACCAGGGAATTGACAGCTCCGCTTGTGTGTAGTCTGTCTGTGTAAGTTTTAATATTTCAGCTTAATTGTGAGAAAGCAAAATAATGATGAAGTTATAAATGTTAATTAGCAATTGATGCCATAAAATACAGAAAGAGTTAGGCTTCAGAGCAGTTACTTTAGCTGAGATGAGTATAAAAGCTTTCTTGAAACCACTTTTGATAGTGTGGTGGCAAGCCAATAATGATTTGCATCATGCTCCCTGTAAGTGCAGAAAAACACAGAGCCCAACCTGCTGGTTCAATAAAGAATTCATTGCTCATATTAGAGGTGTTCATGTGAATCAAGAAGTAGGATATTAATTAAGGAGCCATGCAGAGTTGGGGTGAACAGGCTCCCTGGAGTGGGCAGTCCTGGGAAGCTCCTTGAAAGCTCGTTGCATTGGTTTCTTCACACCCCTTGCCTGGGCACTGTGTTGTCACTCAGCCTGTACGGTGGTCACACCTCGGCAAACGTGCCCCTCCATGTCCACACTGCCCAGGGGAAAGAGGGACTGAACATGTAGGATGAGGAATGTACTCTTCTTCTTGCTCTCTACTAAGTCTGAGGGTACAGAGTATATCCGTTGACCACTGGTTTTAAGGGTGGTGTACCATATCGCAAGGCAGTAGCTGGGTTAGTCCATGTACGTTGGCAGTTCATTTCATCTTCTTTCATTTAATTCAGAGAAAAACATCACTTTTACATCTTAGTGGTTTGTAACATCACTCCACCTCACCATCTTGGGGCATGGAAACATGAAAGGATCTCAGCTTTCATTAAGGATTTTTCCAGTTCTTTCCTTTGTCAAAATAATCTGAAATTCATAAATCAGAAATACACTGATTATAAACCTAAGGTTACATCACTGAATGACCAATATCAAATTTCGAAGATGTGGTGTTTGCATACCTATAAAGGGGATAAATGCCTAATTCTAGAGAAGTGAAATAACTGGAGACACAAAAGACTACAAATAACCCAGGAATAATTACCTTAAAGTAAATGCTTTAATATAAATTAGAAGGGTGGATGGGGTTTCTGGACTGCCACTTTCTCCCAGTGAAATCTTCATGCTTAGAGTCAGTGGTGAAGAGCTGATAAATGACTATGTCAGGATTACCTGGCAAATGACTTCTCAAATTGACATAGATTTCCACAGCAATGGTTGCTTTACAGGCCTAAAGAATCAAATGCCTCTTGATTGTTTGCAATTTAAAGTTTGCAAAGAGAAAATTCAGCTCAGTAAAATTGCACCAGTGTTAAAATCACCCAACCATTCATTTATACAACAGAACTGGTTTTTCACGCCAGAAATGTAGTCTTTTAAGTGGAAACCAAATTACACTGATGAGATGTCTGACCAAAAGCATACTCTAGTCCATTTAGCATAGATTAAAAGCAAAGAATAAAGGATAGAAGGACTAAACTAGTGGAACTGTGAAACATCTGAAAGTTAACATTTGATTGTTTTTTTCTTCACAAACAGACACCAGTTCTACCCTATTATTCTTGACTGTAATATACTCACAAAGGTCTCACTGACACTTCTGTGAGTAACGTTAATTTAAGGAAAGAGGAGGAGACAAACAGTTTTGCAACCTCATTTTGATCAGTTATTACATCTACACAAATTAGACCACTGGATTTGATGTAGCCAAACATTTAATTTGCTCAAATATTTGTGGTAATAGCATATTTGATTAAATTATCTAAGTTTTAAAAATTGTTACTGTAGCAACTTACACTCCAGAGTGAGATTCCTGACTCTCATCCTACCAAATAATTTCTGTCAGGAAATTATTTGATAGGATGATGATAGGAAAACGCAATATAAGTAGTTGAATTGCTGCTAATCCTGCCCAAACTAAAAATAAGCCAAGTTTGGCCCTGATATAAGTAGGTGCACTTTTTTGGAAGCAGTTGAAATAAGTGTTGATACAGATTTATCTATACTTCTTGTAGGAGAAGGTAAGAAAGTAGCAGTGATAAAACGGGCTGTTTGTAATAAAATGCCATGAGTAAATATAGTCCTGCTTTTACTCTGGAACAATTCATATCACTTATACCTGCTCATTTTTGTTGTAAAATCTATCCAAATGGCCCTTTGCCAGACTGCTTGTAAGTTAGCAACCTGCTGAGCCACTCTATGGGACCAGATGGGATCTGTCCTAGGATGATGAAAGAGCTGGCAGAAGAGCTCACCAAACTGCTCTCCATCATTTACCAACAGTCCTGGCTCACTGGGGAGGTCCCAGATGATTGGAAGTTGGCGAATGTCACATCCATCCACAAAAAGGGCTGCAAAGAGTATCCGGGAAACTACAGGCCTGTCACCCTAACCTCAGTGCCTGGCAAAGTTATGGAGCAGGTCATCCTAAGTGCGATCACACAACAGCTACAGGATGGATAAGGGATCAGACCCAGCCAGCACGGGTTTAGCAGGGGCAGGTCCTGTCTGACCAACTTGATCTCCTTTTACGATCAAGTGACCCGCCTGGTGGATGAGGGGAAGGCTGTGAATGTGGTCTGTCTGGATTTCAGCAGAGCCTTTGACACCATCTCCCACAGCATTCTCCTGAAAAAGCTGGCAGCCCACGGCTTGGACAGGGGCACTCTGTGCTGGGTTAGGAACTGGCTGATGGCTGGGCCCAGAGAGTGGTGGTGAACGGTGCTGCATCCAGTTGGCAGCCGGTCACTAGTGGTGTCCCCCAGGGATCAATGTTGGGCCCAGTTCTGTTTAATATCTTTATTAATGATCTGGATGAGGGGATTGAGTCCACCATCAGCAACTTTGCAGATGACACCAAGGTAGGAGGGAGTGTTGATCTGCTGGAAGGCAGGAGGGCTCTGCAGAGGGACCTGGACAAGCTGGAGAGATGGTCTCATTTCAACGGGATGAGGTTCAACAAGGCCAAGTGCCGGGTCCTGCACTTTGGCCACAACAACCCCATTCAGTGCTACAGGCTGGGCACAGAGTGGCTGGAGAGCAGCCAGGCAGAAAGGGACTTGGGAGTTTGGATCGACAGGAAGCTGAACATGAGCCAGCAGTGTGCCCAGGTGGCCAAGAAGGCCAATGGCATCCTGGCCTGGATCAGGAACAGTGTGGCCAGCAGGACCAGGGAAGTGATTCTTGCCCTGTACTCAGCGCTGGTGAGGCCACACCTGGAGTACTGTGTCCAGTTCTGGGCCCCTCAGTTCAGGAAGGTTATTGAGGTGCTGGAGCAGGTCCTTCTCTCAAGCAGAGAAGAGCAATGAGGCTAGCGAAGGGACTTGAGCACAAGTCCTATGAAGGAGCTGGGGTTGTTCAGCCTGGAGAAGAGGAGGCTCAGGGGAGACCTCATCAATCCCTCTCTACAACTCCCTGAAAGGAGGTTGTAGTCAGATGGGGGTTGATCTCTTCTCCCAGGCAATTAGCAGTAGGACAAGAGGGCACAATCTTAAGGGGAGGTTTAGATTGGATATTAGGAAGAAACTTTTTACAGAGAGAGTAATCAGACATTGGAATGGGCTGCCCAGGCAGGTGGTGGATTCACTGTCCCTGGAGGTTTTTAAGATGAGGCTGGATGTGGCACTTAGTGCCATGGTCTAGTAACCAAGGCAGTGTTGGATCAAGGGTTCGACTTGATGATCTTGGAGGTCTTTGCAACATGACTGATTCTATGATTCTGTGAAATGGCTGATGTCCCCCAACAACTTAAGTTGTGCCTGGTTTGCTAAAGACTGCAGTTTGCAAAGGGAAGAAAAGGGAAGTTCTAATCCTCTCAGAGGTTTAACCAATCCTTTGCATTAATAGACCATTCTTTTATATGTAACTGAAGCAAGTTGAAGTTAAACCTTTTAATCTGTGACGGGGGGGTATTTGACTTTTGCGTTACCTTTTTGTTCTAAGCAGTATGATACACTACTTTCATGTTCACATCCTATGTGCAGAAAAATTTTTCAGTACAGTTGCTGAACAAAGTGTGTCAAAATGAAGCTATCCTAGCAAAAACTTAGCCAACATAAGTAGCAATAGACAACGGCAGAACTTGAGTACAAATAGGAATTTGTACACCTTTTCCAGATGTCTTTCTTATATACTTCTTGGGTGACTTACAGGTGTATCTGAAATCTTTTTGCTAGATGCAGATGTTTTTCTTTTACAGTATCTGTCTCATATTAATGGAAAATTGCTCTTATTTGACTTGTATGTCTCACATCAGCTTATCTCCCGAGAGAACTAGAAATGCTATTCATACATATTTTCCTGTGATGTAGCTAGAAGTTTCTATGGTGACCATAGAAATAAATTTTTTCACTTTTTCCTTCCCTTCTTTTAACCAGGTAGACAAGAAAATTGTCCGCACAGAAATTGGAGTTCTTCTCCGCCTTTCACATCCAAACATTGTAAGTTTAGCCTTGTTTTTTCACTCCACATTTGTTTATTTGTTTTTTAAAATTCTTTCTATTCATGAGAGATGACTGTTCAGGTTCATCAATATAGACCTGGATTAAAGCTTTGCTTTCTCTTTGTGAGCATGCTAGCAGCTTTTTATGGAAGCATGTTGTTATACTTTAAAATAAAATATTGATGTTCTTACAGAGTTGAGTGAGAAACTATGTGAAAGAAGTTCTACAAATGCAAGTGGAAAGTTGGTGTTTTCAGTCCTTGAAGGGTAGGAAAGGTTTTACTTTTCAATTTCTCTGAATGATTGGCAGACAGCCTCTTAAACTGCTGTATTTCATAGAGATTACTGAGGTATGAGCAAGAAAATAACCAAAAGAAATAAAAAAAAAAAGAAATGCAAAGGAGATAAAACTAGCAAAAAAAAAAGTAGGAGAGAACAAGGTAGATCTACCAGCTGTGGTCTGTGTCCTACCATTGACGCCCTGACAACGCGCACCAAGAAGACAAATAAGCAAAACAAATACTTTCTGTTACCTTTTTCCAGATAAAATTGAAGGAGATATTTGAGACCCCTACAGAAATCAGTCTTGTTCTGGAATTGGTCACAGGTGGAGAACTATTTGACAGGTAAGTTACCTGTACACACCTTGCTCAGTCTGGACCCCAAGGTCCAGATTCTGCTCTATATGTAATCCTTGTGTTAGTGATTACTGTTATGATTTCATCAGCATAATGGTTTATTCACATTGACAAATGTCTGCAGGAAATAGCTTAAAAATGTGCTTGGAAATGTAATTATCAGGAGACTTCTTGGAAATGATACATGAGTTGAAAATGGAGAATAAAAAAATGGAAAAATGTTGAAGAAGGATACTCAGCAGGTGCCCAGCATTAAGTGTACTAGAGTAGAAAAAAGGCAGGAGAAAATGGCAAAATATCATTGACAGATCATCATGAAACATGTGGAAATCAGTGTGCCAGGAGGATAGCGTTATGTCAAATAAAAATTTGATAAGCAGACTAACCAGAAATTCTCTTTGGTATTCATAGTGTTTATAAAACCTCTGGTTTTGCTACAGAGGTTCTGCGAGACAGCTCTTGAGTTCTGAAGGTTTTACACATGAGGCTGCACATGCTTGTGGAGTAGGTGCATATGCATAAAGTGAAATAATTCTGTAATAATGCTGGGGTGATATTTTACTGGTAGGGATTTGATTTTTTTAGAGCAAGAGATGATATGCAAAACATTTGATACTGGCTTGAGTAAATTAATTAACTCTCTGGCATTGATGAATTCCAACTTAAATAAGGAAGGGTTATTTGATTTTCCTTCTTCTATAATTAAAGTTTAGTATTTTAGAAGGCTATTATACAAATACACATCAAAGATTCAGTCTAAAAGTATCTTTGACTTGAAAAAACAAAATCATACTTTTTTTTTTTTTGGTATCATGGGCTTAGCTTTGAAAAAGAACTATTTGTGAGTAATAACAACAAAAGCAACTGCTCCTGTGACATCTTTAGTTCGTCAGAAGAAAGGTGCATACCCTCTCAATACTGTGCTAAAGCCGTGAGGAGAGATGTGCTGCAAGTTAAACAACCAGTGAGGGCTCAGTCCTGAGCTGGAGAGAACTCCAGTCAAGAACCATAGCCCTTTATATATCCATGTGGTTTCCGATTTAGGTCATTTTCAGGAAGGCTAGATACTCAACAGGAGTCCTTGATGAGAAGATTTAGCAAAGGGAAAATGCAAATGTGCCAGTGAAATTGTTGGCTCCTGAGCAGCAAACACCTGTGTGGTAGAACTGAAAAGACTTCATGGGATCCAGGATGGGGAATTGCATTATTTAATGAAACCAGGATTTAATATTATGACATTTTCAACATTCTGTGATGTATACTCAGCAGTGATTATGGGATTTGAGCTGTCAGATTGATCTTTTCAAAAAAATTTAATGCCTGATCCAGTAGTTTGGACAGCTAGGATGAGCTGACACTAACAAGAAGCAATGTCATTTAGTCACTTAGTTGAGTTGCGGTGCCCCCTTGTGATGCTACTATTGAGCACCAATACTGTGGAGATCTGAACTCAGCATCTTCCTCTACTCCATGAACAACAGAACTGGAACTTTGTCAATACAGATCTCTGTGATTTGTGATTTGGAAAAAAATAAAACAACCAATGGAACAAGAAACCATAAAAAATTATTTTCAGCTCTTCAGCTAGCAATAGGAGTATTACTCCACTCTTTAAACTTAAATTAAAAATAATTAAATATAAATATGCAGCAAAGATGTTTTGCACTAGTGACTCCAATTAAACATCAAACCCTTTCTCAGCTGGGCTGAAGGATTAAAACTTGGTTTGTGCTATGCAATGACTGCCCTCTGAGTTTTAGTGAGGGTAAATTTAGCTTTCTACCTGTGGTGGGTTCACCTTGGCTGAACGCCAGGTGCCCACCCAGATGCTCTATCCATCCCCTTCCCAGCCAGATGGGGAAGAGAGTAAGGTGGGAAAAGAAAACAACACAAATCGTGGGTTGCAATAAGGCAGTTTATATTTATGCAAAAAAGAAAGCAAAAGCAGCGTGCGCGTGCACAAAGCGGAAGCCAGCAGTTAATCTCTACTTCTCATAAGCAGCGATGGCTGAGAAGCAGGGCTCCAGCACACGTAACAGTTGTCAGCAGGCAGTCATCAGAGACAATGAATGCCTCCGGTCCTGCTCTTTGCCTCAGCTTTTATATCTGGGTTGACATCATGCGGTATGGAATATCCCCTTGGTCAGTGTGGGTCAGCTGGCCTACTCGTGTCCCCTCCCAGGATCTCGCCCTCCCATTGAAGAAGGAATGTTATAGTGCTGTGCTCAGCAGTAGCCAAAACATAGGTGCATTATCAACACTCCTCTATCTACCAATACAGAGCACGGCACTGTGAGGGCTACTACAGGGAAATAAATTCCGGCTCAGCCAGATCCACCACACTACTTTAGGTCAGATTCTCCTCTCATGTTTAATCTTTTCGTTCCTTACATCGTTTTATCATACTTGAAGAAAATGACACAGACTGACAGAGAGGCCTTGTGCACTCTTTCCTCTGTGCTTGCATGACACAAACACTACTGTTCTCCTTGCTCTAAACATCCTCATTGCTGCTACTGCTAATTCTTGTAATGTGCTGGTACTTTTTATATCAACCATTTTATTGCTCTATTTTTTCTGCCATTCCAGAGGTCCATTCTTCCATTGAATATGTTTGAGCTGTGGATAAGTAAATTCTTTCATGTAAGCATCCCCCTTATCATGAAGATGATTTTATAAATACCCAAGATCCGATTAGTTTTCTAGAATCCTATTATCATTGTTGACATGTTGTTGATTTCAAACCACTCAACATAAAAGTTCTGGGTAATGAAATTATTCACTTCCTTCATCATATTTAATATTACTGTCAAGTCATCCATGTTATAGCTAAAATAACTCTCATTATGACAATTTTTCACTTGTGTTATCCAAAAGGAGATAAATTCAAACAAATGTATCAGTTACACATCTGAGTTAATACAACCTAAATCAGGCTGGTTTTGTTTGTATTTATGAAAAGAAAACTCTTTCCCAGACTTCATAAATCACATTGTAAGTCATACCCTGACATACCACCTCACACACAATAAATAAAACTCTAAACTGAATTGGAGAAGTTTGTGTAAAATAAAATATTTATTGCCAGTTTACATGACAGTTTTTGCCAACCCAGTAAGTGAGGACTGACAAAGAGCTTGTGACAAAGAATGACAAAGAGAATGACAGACCAGTGGAGGAATTTTTTACTTAAATGTAATTTCTTGGTACTGTTAACTTTAGCTTTCTTGGTGTATTTCATCAGATTTTTGGTCTCTTTGTTGATTTGGCTTTGCTTCTAATAATTACCCTCTGTATTATTACGGGCAGTAATAGCTGTTGCAGCACAGTGAAGTCTGATCTTTGTTTTTTAAGGGCTAAATTTTGTTGAAGTTGTTTTATTCCATTTAGATTCTATTCATATCTATTGCCTTTCCCCCGAATCACTTTTCCAAATATTAATTCCAGTAAAAAAAATCAATTCTACTTTAACATCATTTTACTCAGAATACCTGCAGATTGCTAAGAATAGTTTTTGTTAGCGTCTTTCTTTTTTCTGCTTCAAATAATTATGTCAATCCATAAATTGTCCTTAACTGTACTTTGACATCTTGACCACAGACTCTTCTGTTTCTTCTTTCATCTTATTAAGTGCACCAAACAATGTCTAAAGATAGTACTTACACCTGACAGTCTCTTGAGTCACTTCCATTTCAAATTTCACATTTCCTCTGAAATATAGGTTCAAGCTGATATTCTCTTCTTTTATGGAGTGTACATTAACAAAAATATTAGTTGTTCTAAAGAACTTGCCTTTCTAAGAGAGGTGGGAATTGTTACCTCTTATGGACAAAATCTAGTGAAGCCTTCCCAGCCTTTTTGTTTGTGCTTTTGAAAGTTAGAGTTGCTAAAGGACGTCAATAAGAGTCAAGGAATTAATCAGTCACTAAAGTGATTATTAGCAAGTGTCTTTTATTAACTAGGGTCAGAATAACATCTTTTATTTGCTTCAGTGTTCTGATCTTTCCTGCTTTATGGTGAACTTGCCTCCGGCTGCCGCAAAAGAGGAGCTCCGAAGAAAAGATACAAGGACTCCCTGAAGCAACAACTCAGCCTCGGGCATATTGATCACCATAACTGGTCTACTCTGGCCTCCAATCGGGAGGCCTGGAGACAGACCATCTATAACGCTGCTGATGCTTTTGAGAAGGCACGCAGGATCACTCTTGAGGAGAAAAGACAACGCAGAAAGAATCGAGCCTTGCAGAATATACCATCTAAGGAGTCTTTCTGCTGTGTCTTTTGCAACCGGACGTGTCTATCTCGTATTGGCCTTTTTAGCCACCAACACGCTTGCAAAAAACGTGGGTAGAGCCCTTCCCAAATCTTCGTTCGCGAAGCCTAGCCATGATGATGATGTTCTGGTCTTATTATGTGGTGGCAGCCTGTCTTCTGAACAGGGGTCAGAGAAGTCCTTTGGACTCTGTCCTAGTGCCTCTTGCTTAATAACAATGGAGGGAAAAGAGTTTTCCTGAATGGCTGCATTTCATTTCTAAACAGAGTATTGAAGAAAAACTTCTGGTTTGTTTGACTTGGAGTCCGATCCAAACCCAGGTTTGTATTTTCCATTATCCTTCTTCAGATCAGGGGTAGGCAGTTTGAGTCATTAGAGACAGTAAGAGCTAGTCTGTTCTGGAATATGAAAATGGTTGTAGAATAAGGGAGAATCAGCAAACTGAAATAGAGCTACTTTTAAAATTATTTTATTACTCTTCAATTCTGTAGTATGGAAAATACACAAATATTTAAGAGGGAAACTTTTATTTTTAACTAAACAAATGCATCAGAGCAACAAGGAATTGGCATTACCTCAGTACAAACATGAGCCAATAGATCTGTGAATCATTCATTGAGAAACTGTCTTGTGTGGAAACCATTTTGCTACTGAATAGAGTAATGTAAATTTCCTATTTCTGCTAGTTTTCAGTCTCACTTTAGCTTGTAGAAAT